AAAAAAAAAAAAAAAAAAAAAAACCATGATCGCGATCTGCAGAGGCAATTCGGCGGGAGGTCCTTTGCTCTGAGTGGGAATGAGGGACCGTCCAACCGAATTGCCACCAAATACCTGGATGTGCCGCCCCTCTCTGGAGCAGCCGCCCCAAGCATCTGCTTGCCAGGCTCGTGCCTGGAGCCGGCCCTGTCTCCAGCAGCCTTTGACTTAGGGTTCGAGCCAGCACTGAGGTCAGTGGCAGGATCAGGTATGGAAGATGTCAAAGTTCAAGCCCTTACTCACATTGCACAGCTTATTCTCCTGAAGAAGCACCTCACTATTGGATCTTTCAAATGGTGAGGAAGAGTAAAGCCAAGTTTTCTCTTTAACCAAATTCACTTATTCCGAGTTGATGTTTAATGTTTAAGAAGTTGTGTACTCACTCACTCCCATCCCTACCTGCAGGTGTGCATCATTTTTATTGCAAATAGGAGAATTATTTCTAAGAGCACTTGAAGAGTATCATAAGTAAGGAAGAATGCTCTATGCCTGAGTGTAGAGCTGGTCCAATAAGGCAGGAGAACAATCAAGTGTGCTTTGTATCCAAAAAGAGATAGTACTATCTGAATGCTTGTAGCAAATAAGCTATAAAGATAGGGTATTTGTTTGCAGGTGCTGTCTTATGCACAGATCTGGTTCAAACGTACCAGTTTAATTTAAGATATAACAAGCCGAGACATACATTTTAGAACTGGTGGCCACTTAAAGGCAGACACAACACAAAGCACTAAATATTTAAGTCTAACTATACTTGCTCTAATGATCTATTAAAGAATTAAGAAAAGCTTTAGCCAAGACATAACCGAAAGCTCATGCATGTGCACATGCACTATTGAATAAATGGCATTTATTCAATACACACATTCACACAAATGGTATTTCCTAGGTTCTGCCCACTGAGCCCCTTTGTTGATGCAAGTACTATAGTTACCATAAAAATAAACCTTACAGTACTTATTTAGATCTGTTCATCAATGCCTGTTGATTTAAATGAGAGAGTTGAATACATTGCTGAAAACAGCATTTGGCCCAACATACACATTGTACATAAACCACAGGAACTTAAACTCTCCATAAATGGGTAAGAAGCTGTAACTGAAGCCTGAAGAACACATTATTCTCTTAACAAGAAAACAGACAGACAGACAGACAATCTGTGGGAATTAATAAAAACCCAGTACAGTCAAGGGGGGAGGGGCTTGGGGAAAACTCACTA